CACGGGGCAAGCACTATGGGCAGTCTATCTGAAGTGTACCTGGCGTATAAGATGACCCCCCACTTGGAGGCATATTTTTCAGGGCCAAAAAATCGTCTTATACGCCGGCAAATACGGTATATACAATGGAGTATTACTCTGCTATAAAAAAGAGTGAAATCTTGCCACTTGCGACAACATGGATGGAGCTAGAGGATGTTGTGCTGAGTGGAGTAAGTCAGATGGAGAAGGACAAATGCCATATGATATCATTCATATGTGGAATCTAAAAAACAAACACATAAACAAAAAAAATGAACAAACAAAACTAAAACAAACTCATAGATACGGAGAACAGGTTGGTGGTTACCAGAGGGGAGGGGTTTGGTGGTGGGCGAAAGGGGTCAATTATGTGGTGATGGGTGGTAACTAGACTTTTGGGGGTGATCACTTTGTAGTGCATACAGATGTCAAATTATAATGCTGTATGCTTGAAACTTATGTAATAATAAAATAATTTTTTTAAAGAAAAATGTGGTACACATATTCCCCCAATTTTGTAAAAATGTTGACAGTGCAGGAAATATAAAAGTTATAAAAGTTGGGGAATTGCTAATAGAAATGTGAGTTAGTATTACGTGTTCAATAATGTACACTGGTACAACAGTCCTACGAGTGTCTGCCTGGGTGAAGAATGTTCCTTCTTGCTTGCTTCTGGGTGGGGTCATAGCTTCACGGTCAGTGTTCCAGCTGGAGGGGGCCTGGACAGGACCTGGGGGGCCTGGACTGATTTTGCCCCAGGAGGAAGCAGCTCTCTGATCTGAGCTTACCTTCCAGAGCCTGGGGCCTGATAGAAGCCGTCACCCATTCACTTTTTTTTTTTTTGCTTTTTTTTTAAACATTCCTTTCTGAGGAAAAAAGAAATCTAAGGACGCTTGCCTTTTCCTGTTTTTTCTCCTCTGCTTGTATGCACATATGTATACGTGTACACACACACATTCGTACTCTGTTGAGGGGAAGGAGAAACATCCTGGATCTTGTGGCTTTGCCATCAGTAGGGCTGGCTAGGGGTGAGCCCAGCTGCTGTTCAGGGCTCTTGCCAAGATCCCTGGGCTTTTGTGCACTCAGACGGTTGTTCTCAGCAAGAGAGGACTGCCTCATTTCCCACAGAGGGGATCCCAGCTACCAAGTATTGGAGTCAGAAGAAATTGTTCAGCCTCAAAAAATGAGCACTGTGTGTGGTGCGGCTTTGCTAGATCCATCTGCCATCCTTCCTGTGAGCATTCTGAAGGTCAGCAAGATCTGGCCGGTCCTGGTTTTGGCCTCTGGACAGAGGGAGGGATGCCCTGGCCCAGCACAAACTAAGGAAGAAGAAGAGGAAGGGGGCAGCGGCAGCTGCTGGGCTGTTGGCTGAGCCGCCACGGAGGACATCTCTCATGCAAAGTACCCTTCTGCCTGACCCCAGGTGTCCCTCTGGGGTGTCAGCAGCAGGCGTTATCGGGTGTTTGTCACGCACAAGTAGGTTGTGCTTTCCTTCTGGATCAGCCCAGCTGGCTTTCCTAGGACAGAACTGATCCCACATGTCTCCGTAATGAAGAAACAGAATGAAGAGCAGAATGGGGAAGCTGTGTTCATTGAAATGGCTTGTGGGATGCTGCTTCAGATTGTGCTTCTGCTTCACACTGGAGGATTGAGCAATACCAGGACCAGAGTCGCGGGTATTTCCCACTGTGAGGGAAGGGAGTTTAATTACCAGGGCTTCGGCTTATGTCATTTGCTTCCCTGGAAATAACCCCCCACTCCCTGCAACACACCAAAGCAGTAGTGAGCATGCCTGCCTCCTGGCTTTTCTTGGAAAAGGCATTTCTAGGAATGTCTGCCTGGCTTGGCCTCATTCCTAATATTTTCATGACTCAAGTTTCATGGCAGGGCTCTGAGCTATCCCGTCGTTGGCATCACTGTGCTCCTGGGCCAGGGCTGTGACCAGCCCTCTTACAGATGCCTGCCCTGGGCTCTGCAGCCCATGCCCCAACACAGTGGTGGACAGCAGCTCCCCATGGGTTTTCCCTGGACTTGATGCTTGACGCAGAGACAGCTGAAAGAGTCAAGTGCTGGTGGTGGGGGGAGCAGGAGTGCCTCCTCATGACTTCCTGGGCTCCTCAGCCCCTTCACACCTTCTCCGGGCTCTGGCAAGTTTGGGTGTTGCCCTGCTGCCCATACCCACACCCCTACTCTCTTATTCTGACTCTTGAACCCAGTGGCACCCCACAATATTTAAGACCCGGGTTTCATCACGCATGTGGTTTGGGACATGCAGGTGTAAACGTTGGATATAAGAAGTTGTTCCCATTTGGAAGTTGCAGTAAAGGGGTTCATTTGTCACCTTTCCAAGATCTTGGTGACCTCCACAGCACTGACCATGTTCCCCCAGACCCCAAGCTCTGCCTGCCTGGTGGAGCACTGGTAACTTGATGTCACTGAGTGGCCTTCACAGTCTTCTGTGGTTTACACAGTTAGTTAGGCAGTTGTCATTGATTTCTAGATTTGCTTTCCTTTTCTGGTTGTTGTGTTCTTCCCTGCCTGTCTTGTCTCAGATGCAGCTCTCCTTGACCAGAAAGACCCACCAAGGACAGGCATGAGCGTGGGCTGCAGGCATGGAGAGGCCTCTCCAGAACCCCTAGATGTCCTAATATAGCTGGCTAATGGACAAAGACGTGTACTCTCCGGACAGGGCTGTGTCCTGGGTTCTGGGATCTCCAGTCAAGCCCACCCCCACCCCCGGCTGTATGCAGTGGCCTGCGGAGAGGGACAGGTCTCACTGCATAAACCATGAAAAGAATTGAGAAGCAACCTGTAGCCACTCCTATGCCAGAAGCGTTAGCTCGCTGTTTAAAACTGTTGAATTAGTTGCTGGTATCAAGGTAGATGGTAGTTGGCTATCGGTAACAGAATATCTGATTGGCAGTATTTTAAGTTATAAAGGTATTTATTTATTCAACACCCTGATGAGAAGCCTGCAGGTGGGTGCTCCCAAGCCTGGACGGCAGCTCCATGATGTCCCCGTTTGCACCCTGCCGCCCTTGCAGTCCGGGGGCCTGTCGCCTGTGGCTGCAGGGCATCCCATGCAGCTGTAAGCGTGGTGCTCACTCCCAGTAGGAAACCTGGGCAGAGACTGCTAGCTTTCCTTTCATTAGGAAGGGGAAACTTTTCCAGAAGTCCCCACCACACCGCTTTGCCTTTCCTTCCCTAGGGCCAGAGCTGGAGGCGAGCTGGGGCATTCCGAGGGGCCAGGCCCTTTGCCGCCCCAGTAAGACCCGGGCAGCAGGAGGTGCCACACCATAGTTCTGTCCTGCAAAACCAGAGGAGCGCACCTCACACTCCACAGGGCTGGTTTTGCTCTGAGGATGGGAGGCTGAGCATGGAGCAGACACCCTGTGTGCAGCACCACGCCTGGGGGCCTGGCTTCTGCGCCGCACCAGCCCAAGGCCCACACCCCGCCACGCGGCTGAGTTGGCTGCCGTGTGTTTCTGCTCCACAGGCCTGCTCTGAGGACTCTTTCCGTATGAACAGTTCAGATTCCAGGATTACGGCAGGAATCTTTATTTTTTATTTTTATTTATTTATTTTTTTGCCAAGCCAGCCTTTGGAAGTACAGTTGCAATGCTCTGAGTCTCTTTGTAAGTTTATATCTAGGAGCATGTGTCCCTGGGAAATTTAACAGAAGCCTGTCTTGCAATGCTCTAGTAGTTATAAATTTCATGTGAGTGTGGAGTCCCTGGGTCGGACCCCTGGGACTTTGCACCTGTGGGAGCCCCATGTCCTGCGTTTGGCTGTAGTACAGTGTGCACACATGCACACTTATACTTTCTCTACTGCCTGCCTGCCCTTGTCCCTCTGGGCACCCACACTTAGGTTTCTGAGTTTCTTCTACAGACAATACCTGGCTGAGTTTGTTATGCCACACCTGAATTTACCATTCTTATTCACTTCATTTGGCCTGTCATCCTTCATGAGACAGTAGACCTAGCTTGTGGGGTTGGAAACTACATCTTCTTCACCTCTGAATCTACTGCAGCTTAGCGGAGTCCCTGGTAAACAGGCACTACTCAGTCAGAGCTTACAGCGATGAGTTTAGTCCATGGGCAACTTTAGACATTGTGCTGCTTTATAAGCCAGACAGGAAATGAAAAGCATTTAGTCGGTAGGTCCCCTTGGAGTATCTGTACTTAACCCACCGGCCCATCCAGAACCTGAGTGGTGCTGGTGCACACATGCTTAATGAACGAGTGTCAGGAGAAAGGGGTGGCAACAAAGCTAAGGGTCAGGAGGAATAATTCTGGTTTCATCATCATAAAGGACTTCAGAGTTTATAAGGCATAGTGCCCTATAAAACATCATTTCCACTTTATAAGTGAGGTTAAGGGAAGCCAAGTGACTTTGCCAAAGTCACGCAGCTGCTAAGCTGCTGAGCAGGTATTGGAGCTACAGTTGTCATTTCTCCATAGCTCTTCCATGACATGCAGACAGCACCTACCAAAGTTGAGGGAGGCCAGTGTGGGAGAGTACTGTTAGGTTTTCAGATTGTCACAAGTAAACTAGCTTTCGGGCTTGGGGAGCCTGCATGATGCAGGTACCTTCCTCGCCTGAATGGCTGCGGATGACCCCCGCTGCTATTCAAGTCATCAGTGTGAGGTCGCCAAAGTGCTGCTGAGCATTGAGGGGCCCAGACTGATCCTGGGGCTGGTCAGCAACCACCCCGCCGCCACCACTAGTCAGCGGCTACTGTGTGTTTCAGGGATTCCTTGCAGAGAAATTCTGAAAAGTCCAGAAGGTGGGCAGTCCTCCCCAGTCCTCAGTGTTGTGTGTGATGGATTCTAAAGCTGAAGCAGCTGCAGCCCTGGACAGTGTGACCTGTGGGAAGCTGTGGGGCTCTGAGACCTTTTTAAGAAACTTCAGGTGGATTTTTCTCTTCATCATGTGTTGAGTAGAGAAATGCCACTTCTCTTTTTTTCTCCCCCCAGGACAAGACATTTCAAAGAAAGTATTAAATTCATTCACGAGTGCCGACTCAGGGGAGAGGGCTGTCTTGTACACTGGTATGTATGCTTTTTGCCTAATAACAGTTGAGCATGTTCTGCTCAGCCTGGTTTCTCACCAGGTGTTTTCTGTATGTGAATAATTAGTTCATATCCTAGTAGTTTTCTCTGTCCTCTAAACCTCAAACACACAGCCCACCTGAACCCTCCTGTTTGTTAGTTATTATTTGCTTTTGCTGAAAGAACCGTACATTTTTGTTTTCATTTCACTTAGATTTTCATTTTCACAGTTAGGATTTCTGTAAGGACATCAAGGTCACTAGACAACGGAAGCTCCTTTTTTATTGACCTTTAACGTTCATCAGAACAGTCTCCTGAAGAGGGCACCTAGTCTGTAGCTCATTCCGGAAACTTCAAATGGCCTTTCAAAAACTGTTTCTTTCTGGAGAGTTTTGATTACATATGTGGGTGTTTAGCAAAATGACCATTTCTTCTACGTTTGTAGGCTGGGGCATTTATGTGTGTCTGGCTTACTACTTCGCTTTGAAAAGATCTGAATAGACTCTTAGAATTAAACAGTTTATATACAGCTATCCACCTGCATTCAGCTATAGTTTGTATGTGTGGAGATACACACACACACACACACACACACACACACACAGTGCAAAGAAAGCTGTTATGACATATAACCCAAGGACAGCACACAGAGAGCGCTGAGCACTGATGGCACATAGCAAGCTCTCAGTGAGTATCGGCTCTCATTTTTATTACCTTCAGTATTCATCCTAATAACATAATTAATTTGTCTGGGGAACCAGCAGCCAGCATTCTGGAGCCGGGGTGCTGCTGTCTGTTAAAATACAGGCTGAACATGACCCCTCTCTATCTTGAATGAGGCTTGATATTAATTTACAATTTTTTTAGTTCCCCCAGAGAAGTTACTGTTGCAGTGAAAGCCCTTTGGAAATGCAAAGTGATATCTCCTGGGGCGGGTTGCTGCTAAGGTTGGTGGCTGTCCTGCCATGACTGAGGGGACCCACTGCCTGGTATCCAGAGCAGTCATTTATGAAAACCATCATTTGTTCTAAGGGCCAGTAACCCAAAATGCGGGAGCAGGGACACTAGTCTGAGTTCTTAAAAAATGGCATTATGCAGTTTTATACGGTTCTTGAAATAATGTGATTTTTTTAAATTTTACTTTTGAAAAGAGTAGGACATGTTATAAATACAAATAGAGGGTTTGTAACATCCTTTACGTTTGCTTTAGAACACGTTATGAGGTGCAGCTGGAGCCATTTGAAGGGGAGTTTTGAACTCTGCCTGGGCTTCCAGGGCTCATGGAGAATTAAAGTCTCTAGGTTTGCAGCTCAAGAGGATATACCTTTTTAAAATTTTTCATTATTTCTGATCTAAAACCCTAGGGAAGAGCCACTACTTGAGAATGGTTTATTGTTATGACTGTCATCATCATTATTATTATTATTATCATCATCATTATTATTATGTAACTATGTGGACAGATGTTACATAATAAAGGGCCACATGTTAAACTAACTAACCAAAGGGGCCACATGTTAAACCTGACAAGCTCAGGAGACAGAAAATAACCACAGAGGATGGCGTGAACATAAAAATTCCTAACTAAGGTGGGCCAAGGCAGGAAGTCACATCCTTGGCCTGTAGCTTCCTTGACAAAGGTCACTCTTTACCTTAAGCCTGTCTGTCATCTTTTTGCATCTAAGATAACATATCCTTACAATACCAGAGCAATCTCTTTTTGCGGACCCCCCAGTGGGCACAACCCACCACACCAGAGCAGGAATCTACAAAATTCCTCATTGCTATCTTGTTCCCCAAATACTATCTCTATGTGCTGTAAAATGCTATTAACTATGCTGTACCCACCAATGTAAGAGAAATGTGTGTCTCTCCATTTTACTTTTTATCCAATCCCAGAGATTTCCCCTCTTTGCCTTCTCCCACCCCCTTAATCTACAACCAATGGATTTCATGTAACCTTCCTACTTTGATTCTAATGTATAAAATAAGTTGCAAAACAGCCATTTTCTGAAGTATTTTCTCAATCCGTTGAGACTGCTTCCCAGCAATTGTCGTCAGTTTGGCTCAAATAAACTCTTACAAGTTTTCTCTTAGGCTGGATGTTTTCCATCGACAACTATGTGTAGGTCGATATTGTAGGAATTAGTATTTCAAACAGTTGTGTAAATCTGAAGATAGGCATTTCTAGAAATGAGAAATTTGCTAAACTTCCCCATCTTAAACCGTTGCTAGAACACTAACTGACGCAGCACGACCTGTGACCGCCTTAATTTGCATATGCATTTAAAATGTGTCCCCTTACTTAGGCTGGTAGAGATGATTAGCTGTTGTTGCAGCAGAGCATCCACCTTGACCCTGAATCTCAGAGCACACGTGGAGTGTGCCCACTGTGGTGCTTTGCTTAGTTATGTCGAGAAGAACAAAATATTTGGTAAGGGTTTCTGTATTTTTTTTTAAGTTATAGATTAAGCCCTCACATATCTAGAAAGCCAGAATTTTTAAAAAACATAAAGCCTTCTAAACCGCTGCAGGTTATCAATGGATTTCCCGCATAGATCCCAGGCCCCTCAGCTTCCTTTGATGTGCTTTGATTACTTTATCTGTCCAGGGAAATGGGGGACATCTAAGGAGGAGCTCAGGAGTGACAGAGAATCACAACAGTGACGTGTCCGGAGCCATAGCCAGCAGAAAACCAATGAAAAAGGAGAGTAACACAGATAAAGAATGCCTCAGCTTCTAGTGTAATGGAAGCTAGTATGTTTATGAGTAATTTCCAAGTAACATGCTGGCATGCTGTCCACTCGCAATCCAGGGCAGGAAGACTTTGTAAAACAAGGTCCACAGGACCCCCTGCTCCACATGGGTCAGGAGAGGCACATGTGGCCCTACACATCCCTTGCACGTGTGCTGTTCTCTTGGCCCCACAGCCTGGCCGGTGTCTCCAGGAGTGTGACTCTGGTGACTGCGTACATCATGACTGTCACTGACTTTGGCTGGGAGGATGCCCTGCACACTGTGCGCGCTGGGCGGTCATGTGCCAACCCCAACCTGGGCTTCCAGCGACAGCTCCAGGACTTTGAGAAGCACGAGGTCCATCAGGTAACTGTGCTGGGTCTCTGGGTGTGGAGGCAGCAGCCCGGGAGGGCGCCTCAGGCTTTCTGTACACTCCAGCAGCGTGGAGCCTGGAGGTGGAAAGGCCCACAGTGGATGTCTCGTTGAAGCACGCCCCCTCCCCCACCGCCCTCCCCACTGCCACGTCCCCATTGAAGTCATTGCTTGTCCCTTGTTAACCAGCCACAGCCACGGGACATTACCCTTTACCATCTTCCTTGGGCCCCGGGTTGGCTTCTGTTTCTTTCCCTTTGGGTCAAGGGCTGTTTTCTTGGTTCGGCTTGCTTTCACATCCTCGAGCCAAAACCTTGAAGAAGGTTTGACACTGGCTGGCCAACCACAGAGCTATTTATTTCCTGGTTTATATGAGGCAAAATCTGTACCATTAAGTAATAGGTAACCGCCTACATAGATGCAGGGCTGTGTGTGACATTTTGGGTTTTTTTCCCAACGTCTCTAGTACCGGCAGTGGTTAAAGGAAGAATATGGAGAGAGCCCTTTGCAGGATACAGAAGAAGCCAAGAAGATTCTGGGTAAATATAAAGAGCTGGGGCACCCAGAGACCCAGCCTGGCGCCTGGAGGGGCAGCAGCTGTCAGGCCTCACCTCCCCTGGCCTACAGCCACTGTACCACAGAGACCTAAGGCACTGCGGGCGCCCTGGTGTGCCGGTTGCTGCCGCACAGGACAGGAGGGGCAGGTGGCCATCCAGGTTCCTTCCCAGGACCCCACCCAGCTCCGCCTCAGGCCCCTCCATCAGCCCTCTCCTGCCCAGCCAAAGCTTGCTGCCAGGCCTAGAGGCTGCCCCGCTGCACCTTTGTGTGGGCCAGTGAGTGTGTGCGCGCGTGCGTAAGTATCTGTGAACGTGTGAGTGTGTGAACAGTGCTGGCACAGTCACAGGATCCACACTGCCGGCCTTGGTACCCTACTTTCCCTCTGTCCAAGACTGCAGCGGAAGGCTTTCAAGTTGACCTCTGAGATACTGCTCAGCCAGAAGTAGCCTACGCCTGTGACAACAGTGAGGAGGGCTCGGGGCCCAGCAGCTGAAAGCAGCCGCCTCCCCCAGAACCCAGGGTTGCCTGGCGGGACAGCAGGGGGCCTGACTGCCTCCTGAGGGTAGTTCCAGGGGCCTTGGAAGGGGCGTGTGTGTGTGTGTGTGTGTGTGTGTGTGTGTGTGTGTGTGTGTGTGTGTGGGGGGGGGTGGTTTGGGTGCTCTGAGCACTGCCTCTCTTAATGAAAATGCCCCGGGCTTTGGCCCCCTCAGGTCCCCGGCGGAGTTCTACTTGGTGTTTGATTTCTGTGGCACTGACTGCATTTTAGTTCCATGGGGAGCACTACCCTTCACCCAGAGCACCTTTTCTTCTCCTGTGTGGCCTCACTTCCCCCCAACCTCTCACTGTCCTCACCCGGCAGGAGTCTCTTCCCCAGGACTGGGAAGAAAGAGCCTTCATTAGGCATTGTAGCAGTTTGCATTTAAAAACTCACTTTAAAAAGCCTGAGCACTTATTAAGCACCTTTGTGTATGCTGTGGATTTGATATTTGATCTCAGCTACCTCATTAAATGTTTTTTGAAAAGGTGTTTTTCGTTATTCCAATCAATTCTGCCTCATAGTTGAAAATGTTTGGTTATGATTGCTTTTGAAATCAAAGGGGAAAGCATCAATATCATTGAGCTATTTAAAGTTTCTGAGTTGGACCACAGTAATGCTTTCTGGTGGGTAAATTCCACATTTGGGCCTAGACCAGCATGTCAGAGAGCACCTGCAGTTTGCAGTGGGCATCGTGGCATGCTGTGAGCTCTCTGTGGTACAGTTCTTTATACCAACGCAGAGTGTTAAGCACACACAGCCACAGAATGAAAAAGTACACTCGGCCTCACCCTAAAGAGATGTTGTAGTTCATCTCTCTGATTCTACCACAAAAAGAGACCCTGAATAAGAAGAGCAGTTTCCATGCGTTTAGCAGCGGTTCTCAACCTGTGAGTTGCAACCTCTTTGGAGGTCGAACGACCCTTTCACAGGGGTCGCCGGGTACTCGTATGTGGGCGTATCTGCATGTGGGCCTGGAGATGGATAGAGGAGCGGTGTCTCGGTTCCTAAGATTATTGAAAATATGTGTTTTCCGATGGTCTTCGGCGACCCCTGTGAAAGGTTGAGAACCGCTGGTTTAGAGGGTTATGTCACAGGTGAACTCGATGGGGACCAGGGAGAATGAAGTCACCTGACTCTACACACTCGTACAGGCCCCAAATACAATGAGAAAAGGAAACATGGCCATAGAGTTATCCATGTTCAGCTGAAAGAATCTGCCTATAAAGTACATATTTTTTCTCAAACTGGAAAGAAATGTAAATATGTTAACTGGAAAAGTATTCAGGATATCAGCTTGAATGCTGATATGCATGTACATTTATGAACATCTGAATACATGCCTGTAGATCTTGAAATGTTGTTTTAATATTTGTTGCCAGTAATGTTCTTTCTCCACAGCCACACCAGGAATTCTGAAGTACTGGGCCTTTCTCAGAAGATTGTAATGTACCTGAAGCTTCTGAAATATTGCAAAGCCACAGAGTTTAGTCTGGTGCTGCCAAAAAAAACCAGCAACCTAGAGTTTATTTTTAAGTATCCAGAAGTGATTTGTAAACTTTGTTTTTCGTTTTAAACTGAATACATACATATATAACCCTGTTGTTACATGCTGAGAACTAAGGATGCTCTTTAGCAAGAGAATATATTTTTACCTTAATTTCACTGCTGTGGAATTTAACCTTATCTTTAATGCCTTTATAGCAATCTTAAGGGTCCTGCTGTGCTGGTCTGGTTCCTGGTTAGTGATCATGATTGCTTCTCATGACGATTGTGCTGCATCATGTGTTCTTAAATTCCGCAGCTTGGGACATATCTCTTGGTGTGTGTTTTATCCACGGTTTTTGTTTTCCATGGTAGCATTTACCCAAAGCTATACGTTTTTGTTAATAAAGGGCCACATTTAACTTCATGTGCAATGCATTCTTCCTTAGCTTAAGTGTGGATGTCACACCTTGCTGCCTACGAGGGTCGTGTTAGAGGCTGTTGTTTTCCTCCAGAAGGTAGTGCAGTAGACACTAGGAAAGGTGACTTAATTTCTCCATGGGAGGAAAATTGGTCCTCATTGCGCGCAGGAAGAAACTGGATTTTGGAGTTACGTTTTGCCCCACAGTGTGAGCACTGCCTCCCTGGCACCCCTGGGATTGCTGCATTTCACACAGGGAATTCGGCCGGGTACTCCTTAAACATTGGCCACACATTGTTGAATGCAGTTGCTCTGATTCCATATTCAGCTTTTAATCTGAAAAAAAAAACCAAAAACAAAAAACCCGCAAACTGGCTGGAAGTGCAATTTAAGTCAATTTCCTAAATTTTTCTTGTCTAAATCCAGGGGCTAGGGAGCATGGAAATTTAAGTTTTTACTTGAAGAGTAGGTTTGGCTTGAACTGAAGGCAGGTATACATGGGCCCTTTGACTGTAGGTGGCAGGCTTGCCATATGTTCTAAGTTTCTGTTTCTGATGCCTGGAAGCCCCTGGCCATGGGCTCAGGGGAGGGGCTAGGAGCTGTTCTGGCTGCAGCTCTGCTGGGTGTAGATGATATGCAGCGATCAGTCCATCAGTTCCGGGCATCAAAATGCTGCTTCTGACTCAGCAGGCTTGCTGAGGTACTGACCTGCGTAGCACAGGTAACCCAGTTGTGGGAACCTCTGAGTACTCCACGTGCCAGAGCTGGAAGCCCCAAGACATTTGTTAGTATGGACCACGCCTGGATGTTAGCGGCAGAGGCCCGTCTCTTTCCATGACCAGAGCAGGTGTTTGGGGACACACTAGAGAGGCGGAACGGTGAACTCCTGCTGCCCCGGGGCATTGGCCGGTCAGTTGAGGTGGTTGTGGTGTGGGGAAGTTTTCTCAGGCTGCTGTTTCTGTGATTTTCTTCTGCACATAGATTCTTTCTAGCCTGGAACTCAGAATCGTGGCCTATGTGGAGGAGACTTAAGTGAGCTGCCTGCACCTCCCTGTGCTTCACTCAGTGATTTGCTCGCTGCATTCACTGCCTGCTCATCACAGCAGGTGCTGTGGGATTCGGGCAGGATGTACAGACATACTTCTGACTCCCAGAAAGACTTGGTGGGATTGCAGTTACAAAAACCAGCAGTCACAGAGCGGGTCATAAGGACAAGTACAGGTGCTCCTGGCGCTTTGTGTGGGGAACGGAATGCAGAAACACTCTTCCAGCTTGTGGTGAGGGAGGTGGTCCTCACGGGAGTCGGTTCAGAAAAGGTGATGCCTAATGTGAGTGGTGGAGCCTGAGTGCTGGAACTTGCTGGGTACAGTGGGAGGAAGGGGAGTCCAGACAGAGGACCAGCACTTGGGTTAACTGGCGGCACGAGGGAGCACAGTGTGATTAGAGCAAGCACCTGGGTGGGCAGCCAGGTGGTGGTGGCGGTGGTAACTGGAGCCTTTTGTTGTTTACTTAGTACCTGCTGTACAGTAACTGGTTTACTTCTTATGCTAACCCTTGGAGCTAAGCAATCCCAGAGGTCAGGTGCCCTGCCAGCCTCCTACAAGTGTGATTCCCAGGTTTGGAGCCTTGTAAGCAGCGTGGACACCATTCTGCGGACCAGCGTGGGGGCGGTGGGGGGCAGCGCTTGCTGAATGTGCTCCACTAGCAGGCGCTGCAGTTGGAGAATGGGGGCCAGTGTGCGGGTCCACATTGAAGGCCAGTTAGGAGGCAGCCGGTACAGTCACCCAGGTGATAGAAGATGGCGCCCCGAACAGGGTCATGGCATGGAGATGAGAAGGGCCAAGGAGGCAGATGGACTTGGAAGCTGGGGAGAGAGAAGCAAGTAGTCTTGGTGCCAGACAGGATATGGAGGAGTGAGAGCTTAGGGGCCTTGCTGCTGCCTGGAATCTTGCCTCCAGCGCCATGTTTTCTCGCATGGTTCAGGCATCTTCGTACACTGTGATAGTTGTGTGTGGGCTTTGCGATTTCAAGGTTAGATTTAAAGGGACTGACTGCTAGACCTAGGGCCTCCGAGGGGGCTCATCCTGGCTGTGACCCAGCTTTGAGATCAGGTGTTCAAGTTTTCCCCTGCACCCAGAACAGCCCCCCAAGAACCAGATTTGTGACCATTAATGTAGAATGCAAATATTCAATTTCTTAATTTATTATGAATAAAACATTAGCTTTATGAAGACTCATTTTATCTCCTAGCCAGGCTTATCTCTCTTTCATTATCAAGATTTTTGTTAGCAGCACATTGTACACCTTAAACTTACTTGTACATAATATGTCAATTATATCTGAATAAATCTGAAATAAATGGAGTGAAACACCTTTTAAATCAGAAACAAAAAAGGATTCAGGGAGGCCAAATTAGTCATTAGGCATTATCCTGTGAGCACGCTCACGGCGCTGAGAGCCTGGGGCTGGAGCACCCTGGTCTGGCATGTCCTGAGACTGCCGCGCGGGGGCCGTAGCACACGATACCATCCTCCAGTCTCTCCCTGGGCCGAGCAGGCTCCTGCTTGCTGCCTGACGTTGCCTTGCCTGGGTCCTAGGCAGACCAGCCTGTTTATATGCCCCCTCTGCCAACGTGATTCTTTGACTTAAACCATATTTTTCAGAGTACCTTCATTGACTATGGGTGTCCACACATGTCCTCAACAGCATTTATGCTTTTCCCTGAGGTTGATTTCCCACTAGGGACTTCTTAAAATTTATTAGGTGCTGGTTCTTTTTAGTTTCTGTCTCAGCAGGGAACCCCACTTTCACCTTCTGGAATTATTTCAATGTTACTCGTGCATAGAAACAACCTATAATATCTAGTGATTGCTCTGTGTGTGTGTGTGTGTGTGTGTGTGTGTGTGTGTGTGTGTGTGTGTGCGCGCGCACGCACAACTGTGGTTTATTGCTTTTAAATTATATTTTACAGAAATCCTTAACCTTCAGGGGAGTTGTGTCTGCAATATCAAGGGGTGTGTTCAACTCAGGTACCTAGGCACCAGGAAAACATTAGAGCTCGTGTTGCACAACCAGAGCTGGTCACAAAGCTGCTCTGCACACCAGCATCTAGTCATAAAAATAGGGAACACACTAAGAATCAAAACCCTGTGATCCCACACTAGAGACTCCTCCCATCCTGACCCTGAGTTATTAATAATTTTATTAAGAATGTGCTTTCAACATGCTCGTATTTATATATGTACTTAACAAGAAATCACCAAGACTTCAGAGGGAAGTTCCTCTTCCCTTTCCTTTTTATTGCCCAGAGAAAGGGAGAAACTGAGAAAAAACACAAACAAAGTGCCTCTGACTTGTCACTGGCAACCTGAGCATGTCCGTCATTCCATCTTAGGGTTTGTAGGGTCCCTTTAGGCCTCAGGCTCATGGGGACTGTCAAGTTTTCGGAACCCTGAAGCACACTGGACATTTGTCCTCATGCACAGAGACCTTGACACTTTGCTCTCTTGCTGTGTTACTCCCGCTAGAGATTTTGAGGCCTGTGACTACAATAATGGGACATACTTATTTCAGCTAGTATCAAAA